CTCCACCCAGTAGATTCTAGTTACTGGAAAGGTTTATTGTTACTAGTGGCGATGGCCTCCAACCGAATAGCGATGGCCTGAACCTAGTAGCTTCTAGTTACTAGAAAGCTATATTGTTGCTAGTAGCGGTGGCCTCCACCTAGTAGCTTCTAGTTACTAGAAAGCTACTAATAGCGAGCCTCCAACCTAATAGCGATGGCCTCCATCTAGTAGCTTCTAGTCACTAGAAATCTTGATTTTTGTTACTAGTAGCGATGGCCTCGAACCTAATAGCGATGGCCTCCACCTAGTAGCTTCTAGTTACTGGCAAGTCTTTCCTAGTGCTCCATCCTCCTCAGGTAGATGTGGACCATGCCGACTGCCTCTTTATGCAGGAGGCGTTTTAGGGGATACCAACGCCCAGTAAAAGAACAGCATCGCCAACCGCCAACCATTTTTGTTTGATTTGTTTCTTCTTTGACAGCGGATTATACAAAAAAAACCCTTGAATGATCACGTGTGTTTGACGATTTGCAGCTCTTTGCCGCTTCAACAACGGTGCCTTCAATCGCCATGCACAGCAATCCTGACGCTGTGCCTCGCCAGCCTTATCCTCGCTTGCCGTGCCCTGGCGTGGACGTGGTAGGGGCTAACCTTCACCCCAAAAGCCATCTCAATGCAATTCATAGTTGCCAAGCTGAACACATGCAGTCTGGAGTGTTTGGTATGCATGATAGAGCTGCCTTTTCTGCATTGTCCAAAAGCCAAAGGTATACAAACACAGAAGCGGTCCTTATGATTGTATATATATATATGCACATTAATGTTGGACGCTGATTAGTAATAGGGCCCTCTATAATGCTAACTTTTTGAAAAATAATTCTTGACACATTGACACCCTGTTTGTTTTAAGGGTCCTCTATTATGCTAATTTATTTGGGGATCCTATTTTTGTGTTATCTAAACAATATTTAGGGTTAAGCATATTTCCGTTAGACAAAAAGACATAGTATATAATTACTACTAAGCCAATGGTTGGCTTGCTGAAAGTATTGATAAGATCTATAGTTCTTCTTCAAAACTGATAGCTTCCCAAAACCATCAATTCCCTAATCAATCCTTTGTGTAAAGATTGCTCCTAAACAAATGTTCAAGGTAGTAGACCAGGAAGGCCCGTGATCCTCAACAATGAATTTGTTTTAAGGGTCCTCAATTGTGCATTTTTTTCCTGAAGAAAAATACAAATGGACATTCGTAATTCTACTAAGCCAATGGTTGGCTTACTGAGAGTATTGATAAGATCTGATAAGTATAGGTTTCTATAGTTCTTCTTCAAACCTCACAGCTTCCCAAAGCCATCAATTCCTTAATCAATCCTTTATATAGTAGTATGAAAGGATTGCAAAGAATACCTAATGACAAAGAACTTCAGAAAGGAACATTAATACTACAATCAATTACCAAAGGAATCCTCCTAGGAACCCAGATTTGTTTTGGTGGTAGTTATTATAGCGGATCCCCCATTTTGTTTGAGGGAGAGGGGGGGGGGTCCCTTTTACTAATCAAGATCCAACATTATTTGTATACAGCTCTAACTTTGTGCGACGCCTCTGGATTTGGCTTGTTTGTTTTCTCAAAAGCTCCGGCTCCGCCTGGTTCTGCTTTTCTAGATGTTCCCTCTTGTCAGGTCATTGGAGACACCTGACATTCAGTGTGAGAGATCCAGTGCCGCCTGGAGATCGGATGCAGTGGCGATCTATGGCCTTGATGGCTCGAGCTTTCAGCTGGAGAGGGACGCCAAGCTGACAGCCTCCTAGAGAAGTCATTCAAAGGATGGGAGAGAGGTCCCACGAAGGATGGTCCTTTTCCAACATGTTCAAGTCATCATGGGCCGCAAGTGGGGGACATCAGTGTTTGAAGAGGTATGTGCCGCAAGTCCAATGGTTTTCTCGAAGCGCGTCGTTCATTTTGGGCTGTGACGAGGGTCCAGGGTGACTGGCAGGGAGGGAGGTAGATACATATTACACACCCAAGACTAAATTGCCTGCAGATTCATTGAATAGAATGTATTGTAACTACTGTGCTTTTGATGTGTGTGTGCTCTCTGTGTGTGTGTGTTGGTTTTGGTCTTTCTTAAATGTAGTTTTGCTTGGGCCGGTTGTTTTTGGGTGGTGATTTGCCGGTTTTTGCTCTTTTTCTCAGCCGCTTGTGTTGTGTTGCAGGCTTTTGCATTAAGAAATGGTGCACAGATGATCATTGCCGAGGATTTCATGACAACAAAATCGTCCAGGTGGGTAGCAGGTAGTATGTATTTCAATCGCGGGTGCTTCCTAGTTCCTGGTCACAGGGGGGCCGATTCCAGCTGTACACCGGGTTTCAAAAACATGGAGCACTTGGGGGCTCATCCGGTCGGTCCACGACACTGCGAGACCAAAAGAAGGGCCGCAAAGGGGGGGGAGACAAACATGAAGACACCAAAGACATCCCTTGACTAGGAAAGAATCTGTTAGTTTGCTTGAAGAATGTAATCCTTTGAATGTACTGTTTGCATTTTGTGTATCAGTTTGTCTTTTCGGGCCAGTCTCGTTGGGGACCGGGATAGCAATCGTAAACTTGCCAAAGCAATGGCTATGAAAACTCAAACTCGCTGGTCCTTTGTGTGACAGGAGCAAAAGAGACCAGCCCTCACATGGGTCACAACTAAACACAAGAAGTACAGTAACTTTATGTTCAGCGATGGCAGCCATACATGACCAACGATCAAAAAGCAAATGTGAAAAAAACAGCCAGAGGGTTATGCAAAACAAAAGCACATGAACATGCAAAAGCAGCGCAATTTGCATTTGTTTTGTTTTTTGCTTTAAAACAATATTTTGGCTCCTTGTATCTATGGCTGGCGTGCCGAACGTAACAGTCACTGATCGATTTTATCAGCCCTAGACGCACTATTTTTGTTTTTATATTCCTTTCATTTTCCTAGCATTCATCCGAGATAATATCCATGACCTCGCAGACCGAGGTGGGAGATGTCTACCAAAAGATTGCAGCCAGGATCCAGCTTGACCAAGGGTTGCTGCTGCTGTTGACTTCCCACGGTCAAGTCCTGCAAGACTTGGATGAGTTGCTGGTCGAGCTGGTCGAAGTCGATGAGATCCAGTACCTTCTTCGACCTATTGGTGCAGCAGAAGCAACATTGAGTTTAGTGCGAGCGGCAGACGGGTGCGAGCGGACTGCTACGCAAGTGGGTGCTGTAAATGCCATTGCCTCATTGACCAATTCCAAACTGAGTTTGCACGGTGTCAAACTGCCGAGCAGCTTGCAGACTTTGACGTTCAGCCACGAGACCGAGGACTTCGAAGGTGTTGTGTTGCCAAGCAGCCTACGTTCTTTAAATTTTGTTCACTTCAACCAGAGCTTAGAGAAAGTCACCTTGCCAAGTGGTCTGCAGACTTTGACCTTTGGGAAGGAGTTAAACCAGAGCTTGGAAGGTGTCTCCTTGCCTAGCAGCTTGCAGACTTTGACCTTTGGCTATTCATTCAACCAGAGCTTGCAAGGTGTCACCTTGCCAAGCAGCCTGCAGACTCTGACCTTCGGCTACAAGTTCAACCAGAGCTTGGAAGGTGTCACCTGGCCAAGCAGCCTGCAGACTTTGACCTTCGGCACAGAATTCAACCAGAGCTTGCAGGCTGTCACCTTGCCCAGCGGCCTGCGAAGTTTAACCTTTGGCTCAAAATTCAACCAGAGTTTGGAAGGAGTCAACTTGCCCAAAAGACTGCAGGATTTGACATTTGGCAACAGTTTCGACCAGAGCTTGGAACGTGTCACCTTGCCAAGCAGCCTGCAGACATTGACCTTCGGTGGAAATTTTAATCAAAGTTTGGAAGGTGTTTTGCTGCCCAACAATTTGCAGTCCTTGACTTTCGGCTATTGGTTCAATAAGACATTGGAAGGCGTCGTGTCGCTGCCCACCGGCCTTGAGAGCTTGACCTTCGGCTGTCGATTCAACCGAAGCTTGGCAGATGGCATCTTGCCAATTGGCCTGCAGACATTGAGTTTCGGACGCGACTTTAGAAGGATCATCGCAGGCATGTGGCTGCCCAAAGAATTACAGACTTTGGTCTTAGACCATGGCTTCAATGAGAGGTTGACAGGTGTAGTGTTGCCAAGAGGTCTGAAATCACTGACCTTTGGGCAAGCCTTCAACCAGAGCTTGATTGATGTTGCTTTGCCAGAGGGCTTGCGAGCATTGAGATTTGGTGGTCAATATAACCGGAGCTTTGCAGGTGTCTCCATACCCGGCAGTCTTCTGACATTATCCTTCGGACAGCGGTTTAACCAGAGTTTGGCTCGCATCATGCTGCCAAGCAGCTTGCAGACTTTGACCTTCGGCAATATGTTCAACCCGAGCTTGGAAGGTGTCTCCTTGCCAAGAAGCCTGCAGACTTTGACCTTCGGCTACATGTTCAACCAGAGCTTAAAAGATGTCACCTTGCCAAGCAGCCTGCAGACTTTGACCTTCGGCCACGAGTTCAACCAGAGCTTAAAAGGTGTCACCTTGCCAAGCAGCCTGCAGACTTTGACCTTCGGCAATATGTTCAACCAGAGCTTAAAAGGTGTCACCTTGCCAAGCAGCCTGCAGACTTTGACCTTCGGCAATATGTTCAACCAGAGCTTGGAAGGTGTTTTGCTGCCCCGCACTTTACGGGTCTTGGTGTTTGACACGTGGTTTGATCAGGAGTCTGATTTTTCGACACCGATCCACGAATCTCCGGTCGCGATCCGTGAGTCGTTCGATGTCGTGATCCCCCAGGTAGGTCCGTGATTTGTTTCGATAGATGACCCTCCAGTGACGTTATAAGTTATATAAAAGTTAGATATCCCTCTTCATTTGGCTGGATTTGTGGAGCTACAGCAGCGTTTTCAGTAACCAAACCTGGTTTTTTCTCCTTCAGGAAGCGCAGCGTGTCCCAAAGAGTCAATCCAAGGGCACTTACTTTGAGCAGAGCTTGGCCAATGTCACCTTGGACGGATTGGGCTCCTTGACCTTGGGACTTCGTGCTCGCTGGAGCCCTTGCGGAGTCAGCGATAAGACGTGTGGTTTGCTTTATCGAGTTTGAGTTGTCCTGTTTTCTGGTCATCTTAAACCGCACCTCTCCAAATGAACATCTACAGAAAACAACACACACACACACATCCAGAAAGAAAACAACAGTAAGCTGGCCGGTCAGCACTAAGCTGTCCTTGCCAGCCGTTAATTAGGTGTCAGAACCAAGGAACTTGGCCGGTGTCACGTTGCCCAGCCTACGGACGCTGAGTTTGGACGTCGACTTGGACAATTTGGAAGACATGTTCGACTTGCCAAGTTGCCTCCAGCAGCTCAAGTTTAAGAACTTCGAGGTGATTGTCCATGTTCTCAAAGTGAGGGAAGAAAAGTCCGGCAGGATATGTTCATTTCACTCAGGTTTTTAAGTACTTGGGACAGACGGTCGGCTCACAATGTGTATGAATTGGGTGTCGTGAGTCGTGTCGGTGACATGTCGATTGAGTTCTGGCCTTCTGAGCTGACCAAGTGGGATGATTTTAGGAGCACTGAGGATTGAATGAGGTTCAACTCCATTCACAGAGTATGTATATGTATGTATGATGTTTTGCCTGTTGGCACCCCCCAATTTTTTTTGTCCAACAAATGGACTGTTGAAACGAATCAGCATGGGTTTGAAGATGTTTGACACCTCCAAGGTGGCAACTTGGCATTTTTCCATCCGGGGAGAAACGGGTTTCTAGTGACTTCCCCTTGTGGGTTGTGATACACCTGAAGGTTCCCTGACCTCAACCACCCAGTCACCCAGTCACCCGGACCAAGCACCCCACATCCGGGCGGAAAGCACATCACACCGAGACCCACACCGACCACCTCGAGACATGCAGGACTTCCGCACGTCCGCCGGACGTCCGCGCGACGAGACGCCCGCGCGCGAGGCACTTCGGGTGCTTCGCCCGAAGGTGATCCACGTGGAGTACATGCCTCAGGCGCCTGAGCGTCTGAGCTGTGGGCGAAACGACGGAGAGCGAGCGGGCGAGCTTGCTTGCGGCAGTTTGTGCGGTTTGAGCGAGCAAACAGAGTTTGCTGAAATGCTTTGAGCTTTGGTGAAGGATATTGTCATAAAAGAGTCATTGAGGGAAAATCCTGAAAAGCAGTGAAAAGCATGGGAGATCTCCAGTTTCAGGAGAGTTTCTCGGGATTCGATGTGTTTTTGATGCAGATGAAGGTATATTTTCAGCCAGAAAAAGGCCATGTTGACTGCTCATCTCTTTTCGGGCAGTGACACGGAGCCAGGCCAAACATGTGACACGGTTCTTGAAGGATCACAGAAGGATAGGTCACATAGGTCACCTTTGGTTGCTGTGATCGTTTGTGGTCGGTTGAAATTCCATGCCCTCCTGTTTATACATATATACACCAGAACTGCTGTTTCGATATGTTTCGATGATTTGACCAAAGAAACGAATCTGTTCCGGTTCCCTTGCCAGAGGCCCCTCCTCCCTTGGAATATGTCCAGCACTACCAACCTTCGTTGCTGCAGGCGGGGAGACCAGTCCGATCGACCCTGAAATACACCAAGTTGACCACGCGCAGCCGAGCGATTCCGTGGGTCAAAACTTCACACTAGTTGACCTAGAGTGACCGGAGTGACCTCTGAAAATGAATTCAACAGGCTACAAGGCTAGGAGCAAGGACGCTACTATAGGGGCTCCTGGCCTCGCTAGACGCATGAAGACGAAGCCAACCCAGCAATGCGAGAGTGATTTCAGGTACACGTCTTTTCGCGCCACTGCAACAAACACTTCGAAGACAGCGTTCCAAATGGTCAACCACAACGGCTACAAAGGATGTCAATCTACGCCCTGGTTTGGTCCGGAAGTTGTGTTGGTTCCCCTCAGCCATGGCACAGCCTGGGACCGGATTTGGAGGATGGATAGACGTCCCTCAACGGTTTTTCAAAGCAGCCACGGTGTCGTTGTGTGTTCTCCGGATTTTTTCCGGTATATCCTTCGCTAATCTGAATGGATCGGGTGGAGAAACCTTCCATATACCTTCCGAGTCTGAGAGGCGTCGCGTGGGAGTTCTGAGCACTTCCTGCGGAAGCCAATGTTCTGCTGACCGAACCTGAAGGTTTTTCTTCGGCTTTGTCGACATCCATCGATATTTTGGGCACCCATCGATTCATTCTGGGCATCCATACGTATACCGTAGACCCATTCTGGGTTACCCATCGACCCTCCCAGAATCGCCGGTGAATCACTAGGTGGACATCCATGGCCGTGGTGAGACCTTGCTCTTGCGAGAGAGGCTGTCTGGGAGGTGCACAAACATCCCTCACGTTGTTCCCTGTGTCGACAAAACATCCAACAGAAAGTCGACAAGGAAAAACAAGGAAAAACAAGTGTTTCTCCAGTTTACTTCCGGATTTCATGTTTTGGAGGCTTTCCAGGGGTCATGTGTCCGATTCCGTTGTTTCAGGAACGAGGGTAGTCAATGTGTGAATTGTGCCACATTCTATTTGGCTGCCTTGCTTTCTGGAATGGCAGGAGAACCGTTTGTGAGTAGCGTTCTCCTTGAAACAGATGCAAAATACAGATCCAGACCACTGGACGATTTTTCATCAACCTGATGTTTTTACTTGACAATTCAAAACCTTCACCGCAAGCTTCAGCATCCCAAATGCATATGCGCTATCTTTGTTGGATCCGATTACTTCCAATCCCTATGCTGTCCCTGTTTTTGGAAGGAGGGGTAGGAGCTATTCTGGGATCAAAGTTGTTTGTTATTGCAGAACAAACTTATAAGAGCTAGATGGTTCCAAGTATAATGTTGGTTGTTCGACCAAGTACGTACTGGATATGTTTTTGTTTTTAATCATCCGCAGTTACTGATTGGTGGTTACGCCAACACAATTCACACCAGCTCGAGCTTGCTGTGACACTATGGTCTCACAGCGAGACCTCCAGTGTTCGACTCCGGGAAGATCAACCAAGCTGATTGGAGCAGAGAAGATCCTGAAATCCGAGCTAAGAGCTACGTTTCCATGAATTCCGTGACCTTTCCCTGGTTTTGGAATAGACATAATCTATGGGACTGGAACATGAAAACCCAACAAAGATGACCCCAATGTAGGTAATCTATTCCAGTCCCATGGATGGTTTGGGAATAGACAGATTGGAGGAGTAGCTTCGCTTGTGTTGGAGTTCCAAGGTTTGTCAATCCCTCATTCGACGTGCCTGACTTCGCCTTGTCGGTGAATGCTCGAAGTGACGTGCTCAGGCTGTGGAAGCCTTCGGCACAGCAGGGCAAGCCCAGTGTTTTCGACATCGGCAGGCTGTTAAACGAAGCTGGTAGTTGAGGAAAGAGATGATATCTCCAGATAGGGCTAATTGGCTAAAATTTGCTGTTGGATTTTTGTGTTGAATCCACACACACCCTTGAGCTTTGCCTTATCGAAGTGTCTGGACAGGATGCGTCCTAGGACATTGTGAAAGGTTTTCACTGTTGAGCGATGTTGAAAAACACAGCGGTAGGCCGTCAAACACCCACAGAGTTTAGTTTACAATAAGTCTACAATCTTCTTTCACCGGTTCCTTTGGAAGATACGCCGTTTTTCAGCCGCCAGATGTTGTTCGAGTCACGCTCCGTTTGAATGGTTCAAGCTCCATCGATGGGATCAAAGACTTAGAGAGATCAAGAATCGGTGATCGTGACGTGATCTTCTTCTACGATCACCAATTCACTGACAAATCGGATCGTGATCACGCGAAAAAAATCGGTGATCGTGATACGCGGATCATACGTGATCGTTCGAATCGGTCGACCACTCCCACTCATGTTAACGTGGATGGCATGGCCTCGAAAGGATGGACCATTTTTGTTCCACAAGTCCGGTGGTTGACGAGGTAGGTTTCCTCGGAGTAGACCTCATCCGGTCCGTTTGGAGGGGTGAAAAAGGGACCCCCCTCCACACGCAGAAAGTGACAGAAGGTGTAAGTTCCACAAACAGGAACCTCGGTCACTGCGTTTCACCTCGTCACTGCAACAGCGAGGTTTATTTGGTCGGAGGAACAGCTGCAGAAGTGTGGCTCCTAGTGGCGTTGGGCAGAGGATTTTCGGATGCATATTGGGTGTAGTTCAATGTCCAGTAAGATTTGGTCCCCACAATTCTCCCTTGAAGGCTGGTGATGGATAACGGGTCAAATGAAGGAACCTCGGTTTTGGCTTTTTTTCATTCACGGCTTGCCTAGTGAAGAGCGCGATTTACTGCCCCCCCAGCAACTGAAACCAAGTCGGTGTTCTTTCCTGAACAAGAGGAGGCCCGCAGAGGTAAATTTATGAAACAACAGTATTCGTCAGCCCATTTTTTCAGATGTACCAACATGTTCAAGATCTTTCGAGGAACCCTTGGCTTTTTGTTTAGAAAGCTTGCGCTTTACAGTTGAAAAAGCGGTTCTTCAACTACACTTAATATAATTAAAGTTGTATAAACAACTGTACATAAAGCACCGAGCTATAGAAATGTACCACATACTACAGTACCACCGTCGAGAATCCAAACGAACACACTGTCATTGTCTCATAATTCATCATAATTGTTAGAGAAGTTGCCGCTGTATTTGTTTTGTGCGTTGAGAAGAAAGCCAATCTTCCAATTCCTTGCCCTTGACAATGCCTTTGATTTTAGTTCAAATGATCGCTTCCATGTCTTTCCCTCAACCAGGAAGGCCCCGATGGATCCTGTCGCCGCTTCCGTCGCTGGCACGGCTTCCCAGACACGACTGGTACGGGATCCGTGGGAGCGTGATCAGCGTCCCCCAGTGGATGTGTCGGTTGATGTTCCAGGAAAGCTCTGTGATCCAGTTTAAACGCCAACATGGCTCATTCATTTACTCATAATACTTTCTTTTTTTTGGCAGTTGTATCCGTGACCCTGGAGTTTTCCAGTCAAAGATGTTCAGAAACTCAAAGGATCGATCGGAATCTAAAACGGAAATCCCTCCAAACAAGCACCGCCTTGGCCGCCTTAAGTCCACCTGGATGGTTTCGGAGCTTCCACGGTTTCGGTGCTGTTCCGGCGCGGTGCTTCCGCTTGAGAATCGGGACGTACATCTCACAGCAGAATCGTGAAACTGTACAACTGGGGCAACACATGTTTTCTAAACAAATAACACTCAACTCTACAGGTTTTCTTAAAGATGGCAAGTCCAGGTAGTCGCCTGTTCTTGCATACATGCCGCATGTCAGGCATACACTGGGTGTCTTGGGCCCCTATTGAAACCGGAACTTGCACTGACACATAAGCCACTTCACCTTCCAAGCCATTTGCTTCAGGCAAAGGGGCACAAGATCGTTGGACTGAAGGACGTGAGAAGCATGGCTGCATGTGGCCACGACTGTACAAAAGGGTGCTAGCTGCTAGATGAGGGACCCAAAGTACGCGTGCACTCCAGATTCCCAAATCTGGATGATCTTGACTAATATCTTGACACATCATATCTTTTTGGGTGTTCTCAGTGCAAAAGGAATTCACGTGCTGACACATCCTTGGTTGCCGATGGAGCCGTGCATCCACACCGCGGTCTCTTCCAGCGCTGGAACGTTCCTATGCGCGAAATTCCTCAGGATGACCGGCTGTTCCCTCTCGGCCTTTTTGCTTCGTGCTGAAGGCGCCTACGCGCACGACGCGCCGATCGTTTCAGGTCCACGCGCCGCCGATGGGTTTCCGTCTGGTCGTTGAGAAAGCAGCGAATGGACCAGACTCTATAGGTCTGACAAACTCCACATGGCAATCATTGTTGCTCATAAAGAGTTTCTGGGGTATTTGAAGTGCAGTTGCCAGCACCATGTCCCATCCACTCTTTATCCATCCTTCATCATCCTTCCGATTTCGGCTCATCGAAAGAAATGGTGCTTCGATGACGGCGGTGCCTTCGTCCCGACTGAACTCGCCGTCTCCGTCGTCGCAGGCTACGCGCTCTTTGCCGCGGGGGACGAAGAGGCGGTGTTGGTGCGGGAGGACCTCCAAGCCTTGCTGGGTCCGGGCACCAGGCTGACACGACTCATGTTGGTGGTGTTCTTCGGGGTCGAGGCTGTCGAGCTGAGAGTTGATGCTGAGAGAGTTGTGGCACTTTGTTGAAGGTGCAATATTGAGGTGAGGTGGTAGTGGTTGACCATTTGCAGGGAAGATTGGGGACACGCCTAATGAATCCTAAATACATTATAATTATAGGCGTGCACATCCCAGGAAATGCCTTCGGAAATGCCTTCGGAAATGCCTTCGGAAATGCCTTCGGAATTCCATGGCAGCACAATTCCACTGTGCCCAATGTTTTGAGGGGCCCATGAGGAGAAATCATGGCAAATGTTGCGAAAGAACTGCCACCGTGTTCATTCAGACATAAGTTCAGCTTCTGGAGTCCCAAATCCTAGAGAATCTGATCCAAATGATGTGAATGTTGATGGGCCAAAAGCCTGGAGCTCGACCCGTCCACCCATGTCGCTTCGTGTAGCGAGTCGACCTTGTATAGTTCAACTGGTCTGGTGCGATGGCCGCAGACGTCGCTTGCACCCGGTCGCTTGCACCCATCTAGTCGGTGATCGAAGCTGCCCCATCTAGTCGGTGGCGCGTCAGAGGGGGGTGCACCGCGGCGAAGGCGAAGGCCGACCGAAGCCGCCCCATCTCTTCATCTCCTCATAGGCGGCTTCCGGGCGTCCGGCCTTCCGACCTGCCAAACTTGGAGGGTGAACGCTTCCCACGCGAACTCGGATCAGCTCCATCGATGCGAGCGTGTCGACGAGCGTGTTTTCGGTTCCGGTGAAAGGTGAAAGGCGGAACAGGTCGATGAGCGACAGCTTCATGGCGAATCGGATCCCAATCGAAGTGATCAACAGCAACAGCTTGAGAGCAAGATGAGGCCGGCAAGTTCTGCAAGATTTCACTGCAAGCGGCACTGCTTCACTTTCAACAGGAGCACAATTCCCTATCAAAGCTTTTTCTCAGCATTGGCGCTTCTTCTGCATCTTGCTAATCCATGGCAGAGCCCTCATCGCTGGTGAACATGCATTCAGCAGATCGTACGTCTTGAAAATTGACCGTCTTCAATTGACTGGAATTGAGGTTTTCGGGTGCTTAAGATAGGACCCCCCCCAAACCCCTCCTCTCTCTTTAGATCCGAAGAAAAGTGAGTCTTTGGGAGCTAGGTGTTGAATGTCCTTATAGCAGGTTGGAGGCCATTGCTAGTAACTTGGAGGCCATTGCTATTAGGTTGGAAGCTATTAGATTACCTTTTTCGTGATGTCCTTTGTTTCTCACCACACCGCTGTTGTGGCCGGCTTCCAAGGCCCGACACCGGACCCTTTGGCGCGGATCTCAGCATGTTTGCCAAAGAACAGGTTGCACCAAAACCGCCTGTGAATCCCTGTGATCAATAGTTGTTCGATCATTTATTATTCAGACTTCTGACTTTTTGTGCAATATGATTATATATATATATATTGTATACACATGTATATACACTATGACACTATGCATACATACCATACGCTTGTTGTCCAAACGATCACATTCCGAATCCGTCGCCCCCAGCGAATCAATGTCACTCTGAGTCTCATGAGTCACCGGTCGAAAACGTGCCACATGTCAACCGGTCTACAACTAGAGGGTTCAGTCTGGATTGATGAGCAAAGTCTCATGAGGGTCAGTCTATAGTTGATGAATCCTTTCTACCATCAGTGGTGCTGCCAGGATGCTTGGCTGCGAGGCTCCTTCTGCAACCCCTGGCGCCTTACCAATGCGCCTGGAGCTCTGGGAAGTAGTATGGTGAAGGATCTCAAATCTCAAAGAAAGCAGTTGATCAATGTGTGAAACCTCCACTTAGGCTGGAAAGGTTTGACAGGTGGGAACAAGAGGTTGATTGAACATTGTTTTTTTTTTTAAAAATCATGTCTACATGCGGGATGGGTGGGATTTGTTGATGGGAGACAAAAGAAGAAGCACCTTTTTTGGGGGTATTCATCAAACTTTGGCTGCGCATTTGAGAGTATACATTTGAGGGGACATACACAAGAGCACGCTGAGAGCACATATGGGAGCACACTTTCAAGAGCTCACAGTTTACACCCGTGCGAGAGCATGCATGTGAGACCACACATTCGAGAGCAGCTCATGAAACGAGTGCGCAAATGAGAGTACACACAGAAACAATATGAAACAATCGCACACACACACATATTATGGGTTTTTGAGCACACATACCCGGGTTCCCGGTAGGAGAGCACTGAAACGGTCTGAAACCCGAAACGGGACCACCGGAGCTGGACCCGGTTGCGGCAACGCGGGTCGGAGCTTGGCGGGTCGGCACCGAAGAGGCCACGTGAGGCGGCCGCCCTGAGCCAGAAGTGGTGAACCTCAATATACCTTTTATATAAGTGTTTAGATGAAGTGGTGAACCTTATCCAAACACTCCATCTATGCATCTATGCAGCCATTGACCAGCCCAACCACCCCAATTTTTGGCAAGGGCAGCCGGGCAGTCCGAGCGGGTTTTGTGAAGCGAACCTGCATCGAGAAATCGTGGCATCGGGCGCCACACGGGACGTCCCGGCTGCCGCTGCGGACCGAAGGGCTGAAGCGTCGTCCCGGCACGTCGGAGGCAAAATGCCGAGGCCTTCGGAGAAAGACTGACAAAGAGACATATAGAGAGAGACACAGAGAAAGAGAAAGCGAGAGGGACATCAATGAAAGAGAGGTGCATCTAATGTCAAGTCCGGAGTAATAGCCCACCCTAGTGGTGGTAGTAGTAGTAGTAGTAGTAGTCGTAGTCGTAGTCGTAGTCGTAGTCGTCGTCGTGGTCGTCGTGGTCGTAGTCGTAGTCGTAGTCGTAGTCGTAGTCGTAGTCGTAGTCGTAGTAGTAGTAGTAGTAGTAGTAGTAGTAGTAGTAGTGGTGGCATTTGGCCACCTATATTACGTTCAATTTTGATGAGTTTTGGAGGCTGTCTGGGCTCGGATTAACAAAGGGAGGTTGTAAATCCTGAGTTGACACTACTTGGAGCGGCTTCACAAAGGGTCGACCTAGGCCGGACTATGCCGCATGGGGCTTTGATTTCCGCCTGCTGGCCGTGACCTCAAATTGCGGGCTTTCGGCCTCCCAAAGACCTGGCTGATAGCGGGGTGTAGTGAGATGACCATGTTCCACACAGAAACTGATTGGTGCTTAGTATGGAATGAATGCGTAACCAATAGAGATTCCTTTAGGATCCATTCCCCCATTCCCTACTAAGTGCCAGTTAGCAAATTAGCGTATTTTACTGTAATCCTGATTGCTGTGGGCAGCAGAGAAGATGCGTAGTACAAGGCTGCAGCTCTGGCGGTGCCTACCTTGTAGTCGTTTTGACAGTTTATTGTGCTCCATCCATTGTGGGTATGTACCCATAAGGGCCAAGGTCACTTTGTTCATGATTTAGTTGAATTCAGCCAGCGAATCCGCACTTGCTGGCTTGCCATCCTGACATATCCAGGGACTCACACGCCCATTTAGTGCTGGTCTAGTTGGGAGGTCTAAAGGATAGAGTTAGCACTGTAAAAGCCGGCAAAACAAAAACAGAACACTAGCGATTTCTGGCTGTCTCCCTTCCTTCCCCACTGGCTTCGTCATGCAAACGGATCAACTGCAACGGATTCCACGTGTTCCATTTTGTTCACCCATGAGATTCTAAGACCAAGACCTCCAAGGGGTGGTTAGTGGACACCCCGAATCACAGCTGGGACATGTTATTTTTTCAATCAACTTGAGACGGGAGATGTATCGCCACAGATTGACTTTGCAGCACACATGGTGACTGGTGTGAACACCATCCTCAGTGTCCAAACGTTTCTTTTGCAAGTTGCCTTTGGACCTGCAAGAGAACATCAAGTAAACCCACTTCACAGGATGAACCTCAGATACAAGAGGACGCTACTAGGGGCTCCTGGCATCGCTACTAGGAGCAAGAACGCTATTAGGGGCTCCTGGCCTTGCTACTAGTAACAAGAATGCTACTAGGAACAAAGGGCTTAACTTCTTCCACAGCACCGTCCAGCCCGCATCCAACCCCCTCATCGCATACCCCAGGTCTCACAGAGCGTGAATGAGCAGCGCGAAGCATTGGAACTCTTGTTAAAGGCGGGGGTTCTTGCAAGACAACATAAATCCTGTTTTACCTGTTTTTGTCATGGTAAGACAGCATTGTTTTCTGGTTTGTACTGCTTGTGCTGCAGGCAAACAATGGGTCACCGATGCTACATGGGTCACAGATGCTGTTGGTTCAGCGTTGCTCAGGTCAAAATCAATCCAAAGAACCATCTCTCCTGGACCACGGACCATGGGGAGCTTCAACGACCTGAAAGCATCCTTTTGGAGGTCTACGGCCCCGTTGGAACTGCGTTGCGCAACTCCTTAGATCGTTCATGATCTTTCCTTGGTCCAGGAACCATTGCATCACGAAGTTTAATGACGTTTATTTCTGTTTTGCAGGCTATATGTCCATTTAAGAAATGCATCCAACCAGCCAACCACAGACGACAGGTTTGTTAGGTGTTGTTTCGGGCATTGCAACCTCGCAAATGGGACCATTCACTGGGTTGAAGTTCAACGAGTTTACGTTGAATCCGAGAAAACCACACACCTATAAGCTCCCCTCTATGGTCATCACCGGCTGGGGGGCAGTGTTTGCTTCAGGTAGCAATGAATGACGGCTTGCTGTCCCAAAGCACGGCCAAAATCAGTGTCTGATTTGGAAGAGGATCCCAACATAGCAAGAGAAGTGGTGATTCCCACCAATCACGTCGCTCGTTTGGACGCATCGGCACGGCACGCATCGGTGGATCTGTGCTGTCGATTGGCACCCGAAGACACATCGACCCTGTCGGTCCAGAACCTCAACACTGGCGCAGAAGCTCCCCAAACGCACTGAGCAGTTTAAAGGTGACGCGGTGACGCACTTTAGATCTAGAACGTTTCGAACATGATATGTGTCCATACCGTTTGAAGGTTTTGAACCTACGTAGACTCTTGAGAAACAACAACTCCCACATGTCATCCGCTCTTCTCGCTCGACTGTGAGGCCCATGGTGCTAAAGCTTTTAGCCTCACGACGGGCGAAAAGCAGCGCAGCGACATCCATGGGTTTGAGCCGAAAAAAATGCATTCCTAGGAAACCTTTGGTTGCCTGTATGTCCGCCGGCCAAAAAAACTCGCAACACACACGAAAAAGGACATGGTTTAATAACAGTTATAGTCACTATACCAGGACCCTCCAAGGGGCCCCTTCGCTGTGATTCGGGGCATTCACCACCCCTTGGAGGTCCTGGTATGATGCTTAAAGCGACCTGACTGGACGGTCAAGCGACCCGAGTCGACCCGACCCCGCGGTCTGTGTTTTGAGTCGAGTTCTGGATTGAAGGTGAAAGAGATGGTTTGGCCCAGCAAATGGTGGAGACAGAACATTTTGAGAGATACCAAATGGTGGACCAATCCGTGGACCAATCCATGGTGGGCACCTCCTGTTTGGTCGAGTCGACCATCGGTGTTTGGTAGGTCTGGTTCAGTCGTCTGGTTCGGTCGTCTTCGGGGCCTGAACGTCCACGGTAAACCATAAGGACGTTGGAGGGGGAAGTACTTTTTGGGTCCAATCCGAGGGGAAATCCAGGCTGAGCTCGCTAGGAGGTGTCTTTCTTGGGGCAATCTTGAGGCCAGTTTGTTGAACAGCACGCCAGCTACCTGCTCTGTGGTCGTGTGGCTCGAACAAGCTTTGCGACCGACTGCCTCCCGTGACGCTGCGTGACGCAGCGGGACCCGGTCGCTTCAACCTTGGCCACTCATGTCGTCCCTGTGGGAGCCTCAGGTCAAGGCTGCTGAAAGAACGATTCATTAGGTTGGAGGCCATCCGCCAGTAGGTTGGAGGCCATCCGCCAGTAG